CAAGGATCCAAGTGCAACCAATTATGACTAGTAGTAATCAGATACATACAGGTTAGAGATACGAGCGCCAACATCTCAGTGTTAGTAGCAAAAACAATGAGTCTTTCTGCAAGAAACAATATATTCTAAAATGAAAGGGAGATCTTTTTAAAGGTTAAAAACTCATCCAATTTTATGTCTTACATGGTTTATACTGAGTTCAATAATATATAACTGTATCAATTCAACTGTGGACCTCGAAACTTGCACCCACTTGTGAAAGAGATGTACTGTTGCTCTGGAGTATATTACTGAATATGTTAAAGCTGTAGTGAAACGCTTCTTCTAATCATATAGGTATTAAAAATAAAATAATGATAAAAAATAATTCTTCAAAGCATAAAAATTTGCTCCTTAATAATTAGTAGATGTGAAAAACATTATCACTGAAATCTACCTGACAACTTTATATCCATGCTCAGATGCCAAGTAGCTCAGAAAGTAACTGACTGTGACTAGTAATAATCAGATATATAGAGATTAGAAACACATGTGAAAACATCTTAATGTCAATTGCATTAAAAAGAATATTTCTGTAAAAAATGTACATTTAAAATGGTTTATTTCCTTGGATATTTGGTAACGTAATATGGAAGGTGAATAACAGAAAGCTGGCCAACTGTTCTGTTAACCAGCTACAACTGGCTTTAACACTTTAATGTTTTCTGAAGTTTATTTTCTCTAAATAACAAAACAAAACATGCTGATTTTTTCATGTATATTTCTTAAATAGTTTAAATATACCAAAGAGGAAAATGACTGGATTCATACAAAGTAGGATATTGTGACTAGGACAGCAAGCATGGAAAGACTATGATCATAGACTCAGCATCCTCTTTTATAAAGGAAAGTAATTTTGTTAGAAAATGTATGACTGTTCTTATCATGGCTAATAATAATCTAAAATACTAGTTTTGTAAGCATATTCTGAATCAAAAATTTCATATATGAAGGGCAACATTCCATAAGCAAATTTTAAATTTCTAAGAATGTGACTAGAGCAAATTTATACAGAGTTTTCAATGAATTGCTGCTTCCCAGAATATAACAGTCATCAATACTTGGCATTAATACACACTAGATGGAAACACTGCCTAAGTTCTTATTCTTCAAAGCAGTGATTGGCCATCCCATTATGTATATTTGCATCCAAAGTCTGTAACTTCTGAGATAACTTTTACTTCATGAATATGCATCGATGACTTAATTCTAGAATGTCAAAGTGGAAGAGTGTGGAGAAATTTTAAGAATTCCTGAGCCATACTAAGGATTAGACATTCTAATTTCTCTAGTCTGCTACTTGGCTGTGCAGTTTCCTATCCCTGACATTTAGGACAGCAGTCCTTGGTAAATGGACTAGTCTAGAACTAAATAATACATTTTGGTCAACTTCCTGCAAATGCAGCACCTTAGGAAAGCAACTTGTACTTAGTATTCTTTAGGACACTTGAATCATTCCCATATTAAGACTCAAAATTTAATGCTGAATATAGACTAAAATTTCCATTTTCATACAGATATCTTTTATTTTCTATTTACAGTGATGTAGTATTCAACTAAATTATCATTTGAAAGCTATATTAATACAGTAAAAACCTGTTTCTATATCACCTTATGTTATCCAGAGAAATAGTCTCAAATGAAGAAAAGAATCATTACTATTCAGCACATTAATATTTCTGAAATTTTGTGGTGAGCTTATAACCTTTTTAAAAAATGAAATCTGTGGATTATGGATCTAGTCCACTTCTTATTGTTCCTTTATAAAAGCTTCTGAAACTGTAACTGATTTTCATAATTCTTCTCTATCATTTTCAGTTTCTTTTAAAAATTTTATTTATTATTTCCATTTTATGTGTATTAGTGTATTGCCTGTACACATGTAGGTACACCCATGCCTTGCAATGCCCATGGAAGTTAGAAGAGGGTATTGGATTCCCCTGGAACTGGAGTTATGAACAGTTGTTCATCGCCAGGTGGGTGTTGGGAATTGAATCCGGGTTCTCTGCAAGAGCAGCCAGTGAGCCATCTCTCCAGCCCCCTCACCTGCAGTTTCTAAACCATATTTCTTTCTGGTTAACAAACTTGGAAAACTTAATATCCTCACCACTGACCTATTTAACATCTAAAGTCAAGGATTAATTGACCTATTTCTCATTCTGTGTTCAGGTAACAGCCAGAATGGTGATAAATTTAACTCATTTTTGTTGTG